GAAGAACCCTAAACTCGATTCGAGAACCCTAAACTCACGAAACGACGTGTTTTACTCAACTTCGATGCCTTGTCATTGCCACGGTGTCATCTGAGTCATTGCCATGAAGCAGTGACTAACATCGTTTCGACATATGTTGATTTTGGCTACTTTAGTATAGTTTAAGTTGAGAATTTGATTTTTTAGTGAGTTTAGGTTGATATTTCCAAGATGTAGTAGTTTAGGTATTAAAAACAAACAGAAAATAATTTGGATTGATTTTGGCTAGTTTCTCGCTGTATACATAAGTTGTGCTAATTCTTTTTAAAAATGGTTTACAGTTTGCTGATAATTTTGTAAGAAAGTGACATGTGGTGTCGACAGCTAATGACTATGGAAAAGAATATACAACAAGTGGAGATGTATGTAACTCCCCGACCGTCATATCTCTAGTGGGGCCCCATGTTCACTCTCAATCCCTGGGCCCACCTCTCTTAGTGGGTATTACGTCCTCTCACTAGGCCCTTTAGCTCATCCTATCTGACCGTCGGTTTGCTACACAAAGGAGGCTTAAATAATTGGTTACTGATCCTAAAAATTACCACATCACTACAAGAATACATGTCGATATCCTACGAAAATTCCTTCAAAATAAATGGAAGGAAAATTTTCCTACGAAAAAACTTCGCATTTATGACGAAAACGCAAAAGGGTAGGAAAAAGTAAGAGCATTTAACTACGAGAAATGGTGTCAGAAAGTAGAAGGAATATTTCCTACCAATTTCTTTTAAATAATAGTTTCGTAGGAAATGGTGAAGGAAAGAAAAAAGAATGTAGAAGGAAATAACGCAGAGAGAATTGGGTAGGATTTTTTCCTTCGAAATGCCTTCAACTGAGAAGTGGTAGGAAATGTCGTAGGAAATCGGTAGATATATCGAGGGAAATCATTTCGTAGGAAATTAGAAGGAAACAATAATTTGTAGGAAATTAGTTTATAACCTTCTAAACACAAAACATATATTTATAATTTGCAAGAAATAAATTTGTAACCTTCTAAACACAAAATAGATATTTATAATTTGTTTCTAAAGTACTAATTTGTATCATATATTTTATTGGGCCTATAATTAAAATTATAAAGTATCATTTGTATAAAAAGATAAAATTGATTAATTTTAATGAAAAGAAGAAGAAATTATTAAGCATGGTGCTTAATCAAGGATTTTAATTGGAGGAGGAAAAAACATGAAAAATATGAAAATTGCTTTATTATCATCTCAAATCTTAATAATGTTACTAAAGGTTAAGTCCAGCATAATGGTCTTGTCTGATTCTTATCTATCAAACCAAAAGCACGGCTC